CTCCCAAGGAGCTGCGTCCGGCAGCCTCTTGAGCTTCTCCCAGGGTGGGTGGGTGGGCCTGAGGCGGAAGTGAGTAGGGGGCAGGGTGGGGAGAGAAATTGCCTGGCTCCTCCTCCTCCTCCTCCTCTTCATGGGTTATCATCCTCGGATTCCTTTCTGGGGATTTAGAGGGGCCCCCCCCCGCAGACTAGGAGTGGTTCGCAGCCCAAACAGACACTTCGCTTCCCCAGAAGGGCCTGCTGACTGAAGAAATTAAGACCCGGATAAATATTTTTAACGACTAGTAGGTGGGAACAGAGAAGAAGGGACGTAATTAGGGCACTTGACATGAGATAAAATGCAGGCAGCAAAGGCCAGACCCCATTCGGCCCCTCTTGCTCCCCCCACAGCAAGTTTAGCTGGAGAAATTTGGCTTGCCTCTTCAAAACGAAGTGGCCGAACAGGGCTCGTCCATCCGGTCCTTTGTTGCTTCCTCACTGCCTGGAATCCAGGCGGCCTGTGGAGGGGTATCATCATGGAAGAACAAGAGAAAACGAGTCGTCTGTTGTAGCACGGTCTCACCCACCCCCATGCATTTTGCTGTGAGGAAAGACTTGGGGGGGGGGGGGGGCCTTAAGATCAGGCTGAAAGGGTCCGAGAAGAGATTTTGTTTCAGAAAGAAAATCAGAGACGCCGATGGGTATTTCCTCCCCCCTCCCCTTTTGTTTGTAGTTTGGCTCACTTCTTTGAATCATCTGGAGATATTTTTTTCCTGCATCATTCAGAGCGTGCTGTGTGAATAACGGCACAAAACGTGGCGCTGAGAATTCCGCTCCTTGAGAATGTGATTTGATTGTTTGTGTTTGTATTTAAAAAGATGGGGGTTTTAGCCCTGATTGACTGGATGAGATCCTAAAAACAAGTCCTGGCAGCTGAATAGGATTTCCGGTGAATCCCAGGGGTGGGGGGTGAGTTCCCTGCGTAGCCCTCTTAGCCCTCCCTTGAGTCTGAGATAGAAACGTTAAAATTCGTTTTCACGGAAGTGTTCGAAACAGGAAAACACGGAACAGAATCTGCGAAAGAAGAGCAGTTATTCAGATGCCTTTTATTGGCAGGATGGACGGGTACAGAAAAGGATACAGAAATTTGGGGTACCCTGGCAATAATGAACAGTTTGATTTTGAAAAATGTTGTGTTTTTGTCCCACTCTTCCTCCAACGTGGTGTGTGTGGATTTCCCCTTTCCCCAGCAGTCCTGTGAGGTAGGTTGGACTAACCAGTCCGAGGACATCTAGTGAGCTTTGGGGATCCGTACGAGTTGTACCCGTCTCCCAGACTCCCCGTTGTGTCCGTTAACGCTGCAAGGGCTCTTCACGTAGCCAGAGTGAGATTGTGAGCAGGGTGGGTTGGTAGCCAGCGTGGTGTCGTGGTTCAAGTGCCCAAAGAGGGCAGGGGAGGCCTCAGTCCGAATCCCTCCTTGGCCATCTGAGGCCACTCAGATGGCCCCAAAACTACTCCGCAGGGTTGTCGTGAGGGAGCAGAGGGAACCGTGTACACCACCCCGACCTTCCTTGGAAGAAGGAGGGATACAAACGGGACGGGGGTGGGTGGGTTCCCGCCTGATCTCGTCAGATCTCGGAAGCTAAGCTAGGGTCAGAGGCAGGCCATGGCAAACCCCCTCTGAACGTCTCTTGCCTTGAAAACTCGGTGGGGCTGTGACTTGAGAGCAAAAGAAAAAGGAAGGGATGCCTCGGGGGACAAGATCTGGTGTCATTTTGGTCTGTTGTGGGGCTCAGACATCTTTCCGTTGCTGTCCGGAACCCGGCCGGTGGGCGTGTTCTCGCCACCCAAACTTTTCGCATGCAGAGGGACCGACAGAGATTTTTCTCCACTCGGAGATTGGCCATGGGGCCAGACAGACAAACCTGATTTAATCGGTGGAATTCGCAGTCACGAGAGGCGGCAGGGCCCCCCGGCTGAGATGTCTTTCTCACGGGGCTCAGCAGATTCTCCGAGGGGAAATGTCTCATCAGCTGTGGCTGGCTATGATGCCTCCATGGAACCTCCATGTGCAGAGGCAGTGTGCCTGTAAATGCCAGGTTCTGGGGACAGGCCTGTGGGTGGGTTTTCCAGTGCTTGGCAGGTGCCGACAGATTGCTGGTCCTTACAGACCACTAGATTTGGTCCAACGGGGCTGTTCTTGTGTAGTACACTACCCAAGGGACCCCTTTTAATGAAGCATTCAAAAAAAAAGCTCTCTTTCCCCTCTCTGCTGATATTTCTGCTCACTTGATCCGTTTTTCAAAAGGAGTTTCCTTCCCTCCCTCCCTCCCTCCTCCTCCTCTCAACTTAACATGCTCTGCGGTCTTATTCGATTAGCCCCCCTCCCCGCAGGTTGGCAGCAAGACCTGTTTGTTGCTGTTCAAGGAAAGAGAAAAGGCAGCCTCCTGAAGCGATGCTTTGGCGTGTGTTGAGTCCTGCGTCCTTGGAAGCGCGCAGGGGGATGGTTTCGGCATGGCAAAGGCATTGGAAACGGGACATGTAATCCAGACGAAGGTGCACGCGCACCATCTGTCTCTCCCACCCCTTCCTCGGCTGTCATTGCTGCAGTCCCACGGCCTCGCTTACCCAAAAAGGCAATCAATGAGACGCCGCAGGTTCATGCATTAGCCACACACTGGTGCAATGCACAACCTCGGAAGCCAGTGGTGCTTTTTCAGGAGGCTGGCAGCAAATAGCACATTGGAGCGCATTGGGAGTCACTGGCCTTGCATGCAAATATACGAGCACAGGAGGCTAGCTCACACTGAATCAAAGCCAGTGATCCCTCTAGCCACTGGTGGGCCCTAGGGCCTGATCCAGCCCCCTAAGAAGGGTGTCAGCAGCATTCCCCCAAGTTGTGAATGTCACAGTTAAAAAGGGGTGTGAGAAGGGCTTCAACTGGGACACTTGCGGGTGCATTGCTTACATTTGGTTCTCCAGCTGTGGCCCTGGAGTCCAGCTCAGCTGGTAGCAGCTCTCCCAAGTTCTGGGACAGAGATTTCTCCCAGTCCAGTTTCCCAAGACCTTTGTAACTGGACATGGCAGAAACTGAACCTGGGACGTGCCGGGTGAAAGCATGTGCTCTTTCAGTGGCTGGGGCATAAAAATATGGGTGTGTGACGCTGCTTTATCCCAGAGCGGAACACTGGGCCATCTGACTGACTGTGGGCTCTCCAGAGTCACAGGCACTAATACCTGAGTCTTTTCACTGGGACTGAATTTGGGAATATATGCGTGCGCGCACACACACACACATATTGGGGAGGGGCCGTGACCCAATTGTAGAGCATCCACTTGGCACGCACGAGCTCCTAGGCTCAATTCCTGCCATCTCCAGTTAAAATGGACCAGGTAGTACGTAGGTGATGTGGAAAACCTCTGCTTGAGTCCCTGAAGAACGGCTGCCAATCGGAGTAGACATTGCTGCTCCTGATGAGCCAAACGGCCTTATTCAGTCTTGGGCAGTCTTGGGCATGCATGTTCACGTGGGCAAAGCATGTGCCTGAGGACTGAGCAGTCTTATGCCGAGACCAGACGTCTACGTCGCCTGACTCAGAAGTCTTGCTATGGGCTGTGGAGCACTCCCGCGCCCTTTCTGACCTGTTGGGTGTCCGCCTTCCTTTGAGTTCCCTTCACCTAAGGGGCCACACAGGTTGAATCCCCTTCTGGCATCTCTCATGTCACCGGAGCAAGGCCTGCTCTGGGTGCGAGTTCTCACACAGGATTGCAGCCCATTCCAGTGGGGTGTAGTGGTTAGAATGCTGGGCAAGGACGTGGGAGACCCAAGTTCAAATCCCCACTCAGCCACGGATGCTTCCTGTGTGAGCTGAAGCAAGTCACACACTCTCACCCTAGCCTACCTTGGAGGGTTGTTGTGAGGATAAAAGGAGGAGAAGAAAAGAGAAGAGAAGAGATAGGATTTATACCCCGCCCTTCACTACCCAAAGGAGTCTCAGAGTGGCTCACAAACTCCTTTCCCTTCCCCTCCCCACAACAGACACCCTGTGGGGCAGGTGGGGCTGAGAGAGCTCTGACAGAAACTGCTCTTTTTCAAGGACAGCTCTGACAGAACTATGGCTTGCCCAAGGTCATCCAGCCAGGTGCAAGTGGAGGAGTGGGGAATCAAACCCGGTTCTCCCAGATTAGAGTCCGTGCACTTAACCACGACACCAAACTGTAGGAGAGAGTGAAGGGGTTCCTTAGTGCCCCCGTAGGGGTAGAGGCTGCCAAGGTTTGAGCCCAGTCCCGCTCTGCTCCGTAGCTTCTTTATGGCAAGAGATTTAATTGTGCTGTGTGGGTTGGCTGGATCGCAGCTGGTTGCCTGGAGCCATCAGGGGGTTGTGGAAGGAGGACTGGGGAGAAGCACCATGGCAGGATGGACTCCAGCAGGCTGCCGAGTCAAGTTCCCTTCCCCCTCTGCACCATCAACCCCTCTGTCGCCATGGCAGGATGGACTCCAGCAGGCTGCTGAGTCAAGTTCCCTCTGGTCCCCTCTGCACCATCAACCCCTCTGTTGGCAGCGCCTTCCGGAAGCACCCACACCGATCCACCTTTTCCGTGGCCTCTGGCCCCCTCTTTGCCACCTTCTGGGACCCACATGAAAACAGCATGGGGCTACAGGGAACAGGTCTCTCCATCTTCAGGACA